ACGCAAATATATACACGAATGTATGTATATATATATATATGTGTGTGTGTATATATATACATACACACACACACACATATATATATATATATATACATATATACACATATCTTTGTGTGTGTGTGTTGTTTTGTGTATGTATATATATATATCTCTCTCTCTCTCTCTCTCTTTGTATATATATATATGTGTGTGTGTGTGTGTACGCATAAATGTTTGTCCAGATTCAGGAACATTCTATATGAGTTCATTCTCCTATTCAGTGTATATGTGGGTCGCGAATCTTACGACCGATCGATTAGCAAACAGGATAGAGGTTGGGATTTAACATTTGTTGTTGTTATTGTTTGTGATATTTCGCCCTGTGATCTCTTAACATCTGTACTTATTTCATTTACGCTTTTGTAATATAACAGCTCCTTGAGAAGGCTGTGTCTCTGGAACCTGATACTGGCTTCCGGAAATACATGATGCTCGCAATGTTATATCCGGGCACACAATCGCTCGCATTCTACGAAAAGGGCGTGAGCGTGTTGAAGTTTGACATGAGTACAGCACTTCCCACACCTGTGGCTGGGGACGACTGGAGTATCAGTTTGGCATCGGCATATACTAGCATAGCTGAATTGTATATGACTGATCTGTGCATGGAAGCCAAAGCTGAGAGCGAGTGTAAGAGGGTAGGTTCTTTCTTTTCTATATGTGCGCTCATGACCATCTTCGTTTTGTTCAGGTCGATAGTTTAGCTGGCAGTGCAAAACAACATGCAACGTTCTATCGACTGAATGCAGCTTTTATGTATTCGATTTGGCAATATCACTAAAGCATTCATCTTGAAAGGCTTGTATCTGTGTATGCGAATTCATCATGTATTTACGACGCACAGGGTTGCGAGAGAATGTACATTTTTCTTGCGGAGAATACATATACGTAGCCGGAGAATACCCGAATTATTCTGTTAAAAAGATTTTCCTATCAATCTCGGGCAGATGTATCCGGTAAAAGTTGGACAGTATGCGCCTGAAAGTCGCATTTTATTGTCTTTTTCGATACTGCACAACCGCAGTTTGTCTGCAGCAAACTAGTACCGCACCAGTGGGGTAGTTTTTTGTTGACACTTCGCTCTAAATAGAGACATCCCAGATATTTGCAGAGTATTGTTTGATATATTGGCGACTGACATAGTCGTTCTGCTCATCACATACATACTCAGGTTTTACAACTCGCGGTGGAGGCTGACCCAGAAAATATTGAAGCGCTTCAAACGTTCGCGTCGTATTATATAAGTGCGTGCGATAAGGATCAAGCCAGGCAAGCGATTGCAAAGAGTGTATCGCTTTGGCTTAAAGTCGAAGAGATTGAGAAATTAAAGGCAGGCGGATTAACAGAGGAGGAGGCGATTGGTGGAATGGACACGGAGTCACTGCCATCCTATGAGTTTAGAATCAACACCGCCAGAATTCTGTCGGAATTAGAGATGTATAAGGAAGCTTTGTTGGTATGTTGTTTCTTTTGGTTTGAGAACGGCACGAAGAAATGTGGCTTATCTCGCACTTTGCTTCAGCTCGCTCATTTCTGAGTAATAGAATGCCAACTTAAAGTTTTGGCGATCCGATCAAAGTCTACATTTCAAACATGATCAACTTATGGCAAAACGAGCTTGATCTTTATGTACGAATTCAAAGTTCACTAAGTAGTCGTACTTATTCTCTCAGGTCTTGAGCCGGTTAGAAAAGGAAGACGATGAGGTGGTGGAGGTCTGGTATATGCACGGTATCGTTGCACAACTGATACAGGACCATACCACGGCTATAGAGTGTTTGAGAGAAGCGGAGAAGCTGTTCGTCAAGACTGGTTGCCCCGACCACGAGGTCCTTTCGCATATCAAGAGTATATTAGAAACGTATGAAAAAGAGGGCTTGATAAACTCAGACGGCAGCCTTAATGCAGACGCCGGAGAAGATATGAGTGAGTAGCCGAACCTTCCTCCTTATTTAAAATATTAGATATAAAAATTTACATGGCGCCCACTGTCAGTTACTAGTCTCTGCTTCAATTTCAAATCATTTTCGTCACAACCAGATCGGCATCTTTGGAACATATAGAGACTATCCGTATTCTTTAAATCGTGATCTATACGGTCCGTGGTAGAAATTGTATGCGAAGTCATACACCCTGTTCGTTCCGATTAGCCCCATGAAATGTCGTACACTTGCTTCATACTATACTCGGTGAATTATTTCCGTACTAAATTACGATTCGAGCATAGGAGCCGACGAACAAGAAGTTTTTTCCGATCATCTAGCTTGTACAACACTGTATCCAGCCTTCAGGGGTTTTACTTTCGAATGACAGGGTCGCTCAGATACGGTTCGTATACCAGCAACTAATATACGATTTCGCTACAGCTGTTTTTCCAACGGACAGTCAAAGCGACATATCAAGTCGGACACTCTATGACTCCCAAGTTCACAACATAAAAAGAAGAAAATATACTTGGAGGCATCTCTGGTCATGTAGCATGTAGGACACCGAATCGACTTCAATTTTACATTTCTATTCAAGAAAGTAGCATCAACTTCGATTCAAATTTATTTTCGATGAACTTCCATAGCGGTATATTTATCATATCGGATGCTCACAAATCCCGACGCCATCTTTCCAAGATGCTGACAGGTTTCTGTCATGGAGTGCGCACTATGCTGGATAGAGCTTCCAGTCATCGCACAAACCGAATTCTTGACAGAAGCTGCTTTTTTATCTCTGACGGAAGTCAAGCGAGATATCACTCTGGAATCTAGGCACCATCACTGACCAGGAAAATTCATAAGAACACGCGTTCGGTTCTGTAGCTTGAATTAATTCATGTTTGTGACAAGTCACATTCGAAAAGTAAGCTTGTCAACAGATCTATAACTTTCTTAACAGGAATACCTTCGCTTCTGCAATTTTTTTCCGAGAGACAGGCAAAGCAAGATGTAATATCGGACGTACGGGTATCTCGACTTATAACATCACAAAATTCTCACTCAAAACTCTATTTGAATGCGCCTATAATTTGTAGCGTGTGGTTTATCTTTTCCAGACTCAGAGACAGGTCACATCCGAAAAGTGAGCTGGGAAGTAGACGGCAGCTTTCCTATACAAGAAAACAGCATGTCCCATATAGCCAAATAGTATTACCGATTCTATCTACACACAGTGCAGTTAAAAAAATCAACTTGATGGCGTCTTCGATCAAGTAGAGTGCACTATACTGTATCGAGCTTTAAGCCACTTCACACACGACAATGTATCAAGAAAATAATATGCTACCTCACTGCAGCTAAATATGATACGCATTTTGGCGCGAAAGTAGAAATGGGGTGCTTTCTGAGGGACCTTCAAGACGACATGCATATCGGATACTGGGCTAGAAAACCTCAGTTTTATTTTTACGAGCTGCTGACGTCATCTTTTTGCATATGCTTCATGACTGGCAGCATGAATCTTATCTAGCCTTGAAGCAAGCCACATCTCTAAAGAGAAATTTCGTACATTAAAACAACTTGGGCTTCGCTGCAGCTTTATTTGCGACGGATATTCAATGCAAAATATACTATGCTCACAAAAAAACTTCATTTCATCGCGCCTGGCCTTGAGGCAAATCCAAAAGATGAGCTTAAAAATGGGCGGCAGTCTTCTTGTACAAGAATACAATGAACTCCGATGCAGACTATAAATTTCCAAGAAGCGTGCTTTATACTGTATCGAGCTTTAAGCCAATTCACACACGACATTCTTTACAGGAAACCTATTTTTAATAATAAAGTTCACATTTGTTAGTATATGATAGGCGTTTTAGCCCCAAGGGATGAATAGGGTGCTTTGCGACGAACAATCAAAGCGACATATTATATCGGAACCTGTGGAATCTCGGTTCTATCTACACGAGCTGCTGATAAGAAAATCCCTATGAATGCGCGCACCTTCGGTCCTGTAGCATAAATTATATCGTATCTAAACTTGCACTACAAATACCACTCCAAAGATATTATATAAAAGGGTATTCGTAGATGATCGACTATTTAAAATGTACACGAAGAAAGTTTCAAAATTAGGTGCTAAATTGTTTCCGATGGACAAGCAATACGAGATATTATATCGGATGATTTTTTGAACTCTCGGTGGGTGAGTTGTGTATCCAGGGGCGTACTAAGCTCTTGTTGAATCTTTTTGTCGGCGTTCGCCCAGTCGGTTGGGTAGGCTTCCTGGGTGGCGGTATCCATGGGTGTGTCCGCCAGAGACCCTTTTGGTGCTGAAGAGCACCACGTCCAGGTGTGTACTTCTCCTGTATTTGCTGTGCAACGGTTCCGTCGGTATTGCTTGGATTTTCAATGACCCAGTGGTTGCAAAACATGTGATTAGTTGTCCCCTAAACCGTGTGATGATAGCGGTGGCCTCACACAAGGACACGGCGTCTCCAAAGCGCGCGTCCGTACCACCCTCGAAGTTTGCCATAAGTGTAAATTTCCAAGGCGGGAGTCCTACGCCACGATTCCCTTCATGGAAAGTATCCGATCAGTGTGGTATTATGATAAATGTGTCGGTGATCAACGAGAAATAGTGGTAATGCTGCATTACCACAAAAGGCGCAAACATGATAACGGCCGTATTCGGTACCTCTGTGAGTGATCGAAGAGAATTGTGAATGAGTGGCCAAGGACTGTTAGCGTAGGCCAGTATAAACCTGAGACCAACGGAAAAGTATCTTCAGGTCCCCATATATAAGTGCCTTCCGCTGTAGTGTACACGTCCAGAATGCGGTCGTATTTGCTTGCGAATCATGTAGTGAACCTGTTTTGTAAAGCCGATTCATAACGAATTCCATGACCAGCTGGATTAGAACGTGCGGTCAACAGTTAGGTCTGTATGTGCTATTTGCACGTGCCAGATGACTCTTAGGTGATCGTCAGTACCCATCAACACTACTGTTACAATTTGTTAGCGAGTCTGCTGTTTGTGCCATTGCTGGTTGCCATTCTACTCGGTGTCGCGCGGTGGTCTGAAGGATCGGGTCCATATATCAGTGCCTTGCGCTGTGGTGTACACGTCCAGAATGCGGTCGTCTTTGCTTACGAATAGCTCTACAACATCAATCATGCCATGAGTCTTTTGCGCAAGATCAACCCATATCGCGCTCAGTGACCAGCTGAATTTGAACGTGTGACCGACAGATACGTCTTTATTTTCTCTCTGTTTTCTGTGTCCACGTGCCAGGTGACTTTCTGGTGATTTTCAGTAACCATCAACAACACTGCTACACTTTGTCGCGCGCCTACTGATTGTGCGAGTATTGTTCGCCATGATATTATGTGTTGTCCACCATGCAACTCTGTGTTGGCGATGGGTTGAAGGATTGGGTTTAAGTGGTCGGATATTCATGAGAAGTAGTCGCCGAATACGGTAAGTGGTCTAGATATGTATTGCACATCGACTTCCACTTCGTTTATGATCATAGCCATCGCTCATAGGAAACGACTAATGAGCGCTGCGTCCTCCTGCATTTATTGTTCAGGATGTTTTAACATTAAAATAATGGGTTTTTGGTCCATTGAAATACTTCTCTCTCACCGACCTGCGACAGAACGTAATATTTTTAAACACTGCGTGTTTTTCATCCTGTCACTTCTCTATCCATAGCGCCGCAGTTCTTTTGTGCGACATTGAGCTTGCTACAGAAGAAAGAATATGAGTAAAGAAAACTCAATGGGCTAATCGTGATAATCACGAGGCGAGTGCCGAGTAATTGTGCTGAATTCCTTCTTAGCGTCATCGTTATTAACTTCTACTAGCAGTCCGGAATTATGTATCGGTTGTGGCGTGCCTCCTGATGATTACTGTAAAGCCTAACATTGTTTGTCAATTCTGTTGTTCAACACGTGTACCACTCGGTTGTGTCCAATGAAGTGTACCACTCCCGGCAAGTGAACCACTCTGCTGTAATTCCTTAGGAAGTGAACCACTCTCCGCAAGTGTACCACTCTGTGGTGGTTGTGTAAGTGTACCACTCCGAACAAGTATACAACTCTGTTCATGATGCAAAATGTCGCTAATATGCGTAGACACGTTCCGTGATGATTGGTATGGTATGAAGCCCGCCAGCGTAGTCAGTTTTTCTATTGGGTTATACCCTAGATTCGAGGATTGTCAAGTGTACAAAAGCCTCTTCCACTTTTGGTAATAACCAACCTGGGAGTTTGAGGATGTATGACCACTGGTGACAATCCCAATTTTGCCTTCTCACATTGACGTATGCTCTCAGCTTTTACCTTGTATTCTCTTGTACCAGGAGGTGGTATCTAGACAGAACATGCAGTACCGGTCCCTTCAATATTAGCATCTGGCATGATTACTATCTTTTGGTGAGGAAGCGGGTGATATAGCCTAATGCGTCGCACTACATATAGTTAGCACGTTACAGATGGTATCAGCGCCCTTTGGGATTATATAGTCAAGTTCCGAAATATGTTGGGCGAGATTTTTGTTGTTGGCCACATATGGAAATGCAAGTGCTATTACACTCAGACCATGTACAATCCGAGACTGCATAAAGACTTTGTATATAAGCAGCTTCGAGTAGGGATGGAGGCGGGGCCCTGCGTGAAAGCCGAAAGGCACTGCGCTTCTGATCGCGCGGTCAAGTCTGTTAAGCAGGCTAACTGGCGGAACACTATGCCAGAACTATGAAAGGGTAGGCCAAAATATCTGTATGAGTCAACAATGGGGATCAAGCCTAGCTCCGTGTCCGGTGAATGACCTGAGTATGAGCCTGGGATGAAACCGCATTTTCCATATTAAATTCCATGGCCGAGTCACAGGCCCACCAGTGACATAAGTTGATGAGTACTCAGCGTCCATTGGAATTCCATTAATGAATACATACGTCATCGGCGAGAATCAGTGAGGGATTGTGGCTGCAATTTTCGAAATTTCTATTGAATAATAAAGGCATTATAGGAAAATAGGGGACCCTTGATGTAGTCCTCTTTGATGTTTAGAGGGTTGGCAAAGTTTTCCTTGGTAGAGGACTTGTGTAGTGTGATTTTTGATCCGGTTTTTACATATAGTGATTAGTCGGGGGGGGGGGGGGGG